TTTTTTCCCATAGGGTGTGTGTGTATTTGCCAGCAAGGAGAGGGGCAGAGAGAGAGAGAGAGTGAAAGGGAAAATGAGAAATCACCCACTTGTGGGGATGGCCATGCCGTAGCCCCTTCTCCTTCTGGGATTTTGGGCATGTAAGCACACTCACTTTCATGATTTTCATGGCTCCTCAGCCAGGACTTGGTAAGCCAAGTGGGAATCCAGTGCCATAAACACTACACTATTTGTTGGTCCCCCGAGGCTAATTTTTAAAATAACTTCCCACTGTAGGACCTGCAGGTAGCATGGAGGTTAAGGTGGCTGGATCCCATATGGTTGATTGCACAGTTCAAGTCCCAGATATGCAAGTGCACATGCCATATATTATCATTGCCTCACCAAATCTAGAAATCTAAACATGCACTTCATAACCATAGAGACTGAACACAATGTTTTTTTCCTGTATGTAAATAACTGTAGAACATTTTACAAATGTGAACATATTTAATTTTCACAACCACCTAGTAGGAAGAGTATTAGCATCAACAGTTTACATATGAGGAAACTAAAGGTCAGAGAAGTTAAATTACTTGGCCACAGTGACATCATTAATAAGTGATGGAGTAGGTATTCAAATAAAATTTTGTCTGATTCTAAGCCTAGCATTTCTGGCATAATGATTTACTAATTCTATTTGGGAGCAGGAGGTACCTATTGCTATCTCCCTTATGTGCATTTCCAGAGCATTGTCCTTTTACTATTTTTTTATTATTTTTAAAAATTATTATTCATATATTAAATTGCTATACATCCATGAAATGCCCAAATATATGAATAATTGGTATACCAGAAGGTAAAGAAACTAATAAGGGCATTGATAATCTATTCCATGAAATCCTGGAAGAAAACTTTCCTAGTCTAGAGAGGCACTCAAACATCCAGACCCAAGAAATACAAAGAACCCCAAGTAAGATCAATCCAAAAAGATCCTCTCCACAGCACATTATAGCTAGTTTGATCAAAATGACAGACAGAGACAAGATACTAAGATTGGCAAGAGAGAAAAATCATATCACTTACAAAGGCTATCCCATCAGATTAACACCAGACCTCTCATTGGATACAATGCAAGCAAGGAAAGCATGGGGAAATATATTCAAAGTGCTAAATGAAAAACAATTTTAACCAAGAATACTATATTTGGCAAGATTGTCCTTTTACTATTGCAGTGAACTCACTGCAGCTTTGCCTGATCATGGGACTGATGTGTTGTTTTCTTTATCACTTGATATAAAGGTGATTCGAATTATAAGCAGACACTACAAGTGTTATGCAAATACACCAAAAGATTTAGATGAAATAGATTCTAGGAAAATGGGAACTAGTCTAATGACATAAAAAGAGGTAGAAAATCTGGGGCCAGCAGGTAGTGTGGTGGATAAAGGCGCTGGATTCCCACATGGCCAAGCATGGTTCAATTCCTGGACCTGGTGGCTTGTTTTCTCACTTTCCCTTTCTCTCTCTCTCTCGTTAAATAAAGAAAAAGAATAACAATAACAAATGGAAATAAATAAATAATAAATAATTCTTTAAAAAAAAAGAGGTAGAAAATCTAAACACACCAATAATTATGGAGGATATTGAAAGTGCTATTAGGTTGTTGGGAAAGTCATGACGTATTTTTCTATGGAAAAAATGAGTCCTGACTTCCCTGACAATCCAGTATTAAAAATAGTTTCCTTCAAGGCTATCCATGCTCACGAACTATAACAAACACTTAAGAAACAATATTTCCAGAGCATAGGAAAGTCTTCTCAATTTATATACATTTTACCTAAAGCTGATTTTAAAAATCAGCAGATATTTTTTGGAGCATCTATTATTTCCCAGGTATTCTTATTTATTCATTTTTTTTTCCCCTGAGAGAAAAGAGAGACCATCAAGTGAAGAGCTTCAAGGCAGATGTCTTGTGGTATGTCATGGTACCTAGGGTATGTATTTTCAAAAGATATTACATGATATCACACTAGAATAATGTAACTCTGTCTGTCCAAAAAGTATACATTAGATAAGCACCAGAAAGTGACAATGTGCATCATGACACAATAATGTTAGGTTGTCGGGAAAGTCATGACACGTTTTTCCATAGAAAATCCATCCAACAGAAATACAATGTAATCATTTTTATTTATTCTGAATATTACTATGAGTGCACAATGAAGTATACATTTATAAACAAAATATGTAGCCTTGTGTGATTATGAATGCTTCATGTAATGAATACTGACCGCCTGTGGAAAGAGACAAAGACTGAGAAAGGGGATTCCGAGCCTCACACAGATTGAGAAAGGCGATTCCTTGCTCTGGAGAACCGGTTTTGAGTCTGAGGGGTCAACAGGTAGGTTATCAAGTGAGCAGTGGCTGTATAAGGCTCATCAAGAAAAATACATTAGTAAAAACAGTCAAGAAAATACTCTTTTTGGAAAAAAGTTTATTTCTCCTATGAGAGAGAGAGAGAGTTAGCACTCCCAATAGAGTCTTATGTCATGATCCATTCCCAGCTTCCGCCAGAAGCTGGATCATGGGTACATGCATGCCCAGCATATTCAGAAAGATCTTCAGATGAAAACCTGGAATGCTCCCCTGCGGGTCAGACTTGCAGTGCTGTGTTTTAATACTGTGCCACCATCCAACCAAAAGGAAAAAAAAATTTTGGGGGAAGTTTTTGCTATAGGGTGCATGCACTCACCAGAATGACAGAGAGAGACAGAGAGACAGAAAGTGAGAAATCACCCCCCAGAGGGGATGACCACGCCCCAATCCCTTCTCCTCCATTCTCTTCTTGGGATCTTGGGCATTCACACACACGCACCCCATGTGAGTTTAAGCCACCAGGTCTGGGACTCGAACCCCGGTCAACTACATGGGAGTCCAACGACATAGCCATTACACCAACTGCTGGTACCTTAAAGAGAAATGTAATAAAGGCTTGTCCTATAAGATGTCAGAATGTTGTATAAATCATTTATTAATGGAAAACAATACAAAGTACAGAAATATTTTTGTATTTACTAAAATGTATTTTGTATTTATTAAAATGGGTTTGGATTTCCCTCTTCAGCTTGATAATGTGCTATTTTCCTGTTCCCATCATGTCAATGGGTACATGTGGCTTAGTCTCCTGCAGTGCAGGCTATCGGGGTCTCTCAGCCAGTAATGGAGGTAAGAGATGAATGATAAGAACTCCAGTTGGTATGTGTCAGAACACATAGTAAGCAACCCGGGTTGGGCCAGGTACTTCTGCCCTATACTTCTATGCAACCCATAATATTGTTATCCTCCCACTAGCTTCTGAATTTCTAGAGGGCACAGCGGAGTGTCTATCAACTTTTGAATCCTTCATGCAAGGGTCTTTCAAAACTTCCATGTCAGTGAATGTGTCAGTGAAGGTCACTAAGTGACCTGAAATGATTCTTGCCTCCTGGGATGCGTGCACTGTGTAGACTCCTCCACAATGAATAAGATTGATTTATGCAATCAATAAGATACTGTGGATAAAACAAAATGTGACTTCTACTGTGTTTCTTGTTGGATTACTCTGTGAGAAGTCAGCTGCCACTGTAGCAGCCCTAAGGGAAGATCTACAAAGGAGATACTGAGGCCTCCCAACAACCGCCAGCACCAACTTGTCAGCCATGTGAGTCAGTGATCTTAGGGGTGGCCTTTAAGACTTTCTCAGTCAACATTTTGGTGATAAGTTCATAAAGAACACAAGCCAGAACCACCCAGCTAAGCTGCTCCTGAATTTCAGAAACTATATGAAATAGTATCTACTTATTTTAAGCTGTTAAGTTTTGGTATAATTTATCATACAGCAATAGACAATTACAGAAGTCAGAAATAGGTTGATAGTTGAAGACTGCCCAACACTAGTACTGTTGAGATGGGACTTTCATTTGTTAAACCAACTCCTATTAAGTTCCTAGTCTGTTCTAGGTACCAGGGACCCAAAGATGAACATGGCATCAGAGGATATGATCACCTTCTTCCCAAGAAGACTGAAGGTAGGTGAGCTGGACTGAGGAAGTTCTTGGCCCAGCCTGAGAATCTGTTCTCAGGTCAAGACTGGCAGCTACCCCTGCACCTGTGCCCATTCTTATCTTCTGGCTTAGCCCCAGTTCTCAGGGGTACAGCTGCTGGTAGTGACAAATCTGACCTTGGGAGTATCAAGGTGAGATAAAGCAGGCCCTGACACCTGCAACTATGCCTCCCATAGCCCCGCCCATCCTCTCAGCTGCACCTTTCTGTCCCCACAAACTGCAGTCTTTTTTTTTTCCTTAGGAGTCAGACTCTAGCAAAGTAGGTCACAATGTTCTTTACACCCAGGATGAAGACAAGAGGGCAGCAGTACAAGTTCCATGTTTCCCTGATAGCAGCTGTTCTCTCCCATCAGTGCCTTGGGCTGCAGTAAGGGAAGGAGCTGGCAGCTGTAGCATCCTATGACTGCCCCTGTCCTTCCTCTCTGAAGCTGTAGCAACCAAAGCACAAGAGGACTAATTATGCCCCATCCCTGAAACAGCTTTCTTCCAAGACCCTGGCTTCTGGCCTTGGGAGACCAGTTTGGTCCTGTAAGAGGAAAGTAACATGCTTTAAATGAATGTTCCAATAGCTCAGCTCTTCTTGCACGTGCTATCCTGGACCTAGGTCAAGAACCTTGGGGCTCTGATTCCCTGCACAGACCCCTTCATTCTTTTGCTGGACTTCTACATCCATGGAAAGAGACTCAGTCTCAATGCTGAGATAAAGCCTCCAGTTGCAAGTAGTTCTGTCAGAGTTGCCAGGACTGATTGGTGAGGGGCTTTGTTGGGTTTTTCTCCTTCTGGGCAGGGGGCACTCAGCTCACCCTTATAAATCTAGAGTGATTCAAGATAGGAGTATGATAGCCTTGGAAACTGCAGTCATGAGATGGCAGCTGTGCTGCTCCCACAGAGATTGAAGGGCTCTCCTCCTTATATAAGGCTGAACAAAGAGGCTGACAAAGTGGCCGATGTGGAGGCACCATGGGGAGGATGCTGCTCTGGGCCTGTGAGTCTCCCCCTTTTTATTCCTTCATCATTCCCACGGGTCATGGGGTGTCCCTTGGAAAGGACAGGAGGGCAGTCATCTGTTTTAGTGAGGTTTCCACATGGGGTCCCTCTCATGCCCTGGGCTCTGAGCAGAAGTACCCGAGCTCTATACCGAGTGTCTGCATTCTTATGGCTGAAACTGATTGACTAAAGGATATAGAAACACAGTAAATGGATGTAAATACCAGATATAGGGTGCGTGAAAGAGTAGTCTGAGGAAGGGCATTTAGAAGAAAAATAGAGAGGCAAGGTATCAACGGGACAAAGAAATGTGGTATTATCTGTTGAAGATACTTTTATAGTTTCATCACCTGGACTAGGGAGAAATGGTCACATGTTGAAATATTCACTTTGTAAGCTAAATAATGTGATTGAATGTAAAAGAGAAAATGAAATTAAAAAAAGAAAACCAAAACCAAAACCAAAACCAACCAACCAACCAAACAAACCCTGCAATTCCCCTGGGTAGCAGCACATCCTAACTAGAAAGCTCATTTGAGGAGTTTCTGATTTTGTGTTTTTTGTTTCAGGTTTGGCTGTTTTGCTGCAGGTGCAACTAGGTAAGGCATAACATGCACCCCTGCCCACACTTCAGTCTTCCTAGCAGTTGACTCCACTTTTTCACCTTTCTTCCATCTCTGCATTTTCTTCTCCTTCCATGATGAAGTCAGGAATAGAAACTCAAGTACCCAGCCTATTTTGCTGCATCCTGAAATGTCAGATCTGGGAGGGTACCTATAGATCATTAATCTCAAACTATTCACTTTATAGATGAGAAAACTAAGGCACAGAGAGGGGATGTGTCTTGTCCTCCATTTCTCGGCATTAAGACTTAAACCTATGTGCTGGTGTAGTCTACTTCTGTACCTATTACTCTACATTCGTCTTTGTTTCTGCCTTTTTCTCCTCAGACATCCTCATGTTTGCTCTGTTTCCTGGGCATTAAGCTATGAATAAGAGATATGACAAAGGCCCAGATAGGAGGACTCAGGAGAGGAGAGTGGGAAAAGCACGAGTTTTAGAATAAGTAAGACTGCTTGGAAGCAACATTATTTATAATAAATACTTGGTTAATAGCTAAGCAAATGAATTGCTATTAATCACAACCTTGCAGTACTGTGCAAGTCAGTTTTTCTGAGTCTTATCTAAAACTGAGGATAATAATATTTTCTTCATAGGGTCATTATGAAAATTAAAATGTAAGCAAAACAGTGCAGATAAAGCCTCTAAGTAAAGCATCAGTTACATCATATGCCATCTACAAACAGTGGTTATTTTATCAATAATAAAGTTATGCATATGATGAGGTTAGAATAGTACCCAAGGAGCATAATTACCCTGACCATGTGGCTCTGTGATAGCAAGTTGATTTTACTTTATACATTGACTCTGATTTTTAATAAAAGTTTATTACAGAGCATGTGCACTGGCCAGAGAGAGAGAAAGTGAGAAAGTATTCCCCAGGGAGGATGACCATGATTCAATTCCCTCTCCTCCATTCTCCTCTCAGGACTTTGGGCACATATGCACACGTGCCCAGCATGCTTTTCAAGCTGCTGGATCTGGGATTTGAATAGCGTAGTTGGCCATGTGGGATCAGCTGCCTTAACCAACACATCACCTGGCTGGTCCTAGCTGACTCTGATTTTTAAAGCTTTCTGGGTCACAAAAGATACTTAGGCCATGCTCACATTCTGTTGAGAAAAGTACCATGGCTGTTTAGCCAAGTCCTAGGAAAGGTGTGTGGCAATATCTTCCAGGTATGTGTCACACAGACTCTCAGGTTATTCTTTTTTTTTTTTCTTTTTTTACTAATTTATTTATTTTACATACTATACTTTCTCTGAACATCACCACTGCATACCAAGTGTGATTTTTCAACCAGAATACACTGTAAAGTGGTTTAATCATGCATGTTATCATCAGCAAATAATTTTCCATTTCTTGTTTCTTGTACATATATATATATAGTTCTATATATATGTGTATATATATACATATATAGTTTTCCCCCTATTTCTCACCCTCTGCCATTTCTTTCTTTCTTTTTTTTTTTGAAGAGATTTTCACTGTAGGGCGTGTGCGCTCGCCAGACAGAGAGAGAGAGACATAGAGACAGAAAGCGAGAAATCACCCCCCAGGGGGTATGGTCACGCCGCAATCCCTTCTCCTCCATTCTCCTCTTGGGATCTTGGGCATGCACGCACACGCGCCCGGCGTGAGTTTTAAGCCACCGGGTCCGGGACACGAACCGCGGTCGACTACGTGGGAGTCCAGCGACATAGCCATTACGCTAACTGCTGGTTCCCTGCCATTTCTTTTTTTTAATTAATTAATTTTTTTGTATATATATTCAACCGCATTGTTTAGCTTTCAATGTGAGCATTTCAATATGTGAACATTTCTCCCCAGTCCCGTTGATCAAAATATCTTCAACTGATAACACCACACTTCCCCATCCCGTCAATGTTCTACCTCCGTATCCCTTCTCAAATGTCCTTCGTTAGGCCCCACTCCTCCACATACACCTCATCTGACAGTCACACCCATCTCTTGTGTTTGTAGAACTGTTAGTCAATCAGTTTCAGTCATAGAGTGCAGACATTCGGTATATGTTAAGTGGGGACATACAGTATCTCTCCTTCATAGGCTGGCTTGCCTCACTCAGCAGTAAATCTTCCATATTTTTCCACTTTCTGTCAAAAGCCAGGGTTTTGTTGGTTATTATGGCTGAGTAGTATTCCATAGAATATATGTGCCACAGTTTTTCAATGCATTCCTCCATATGGGGGCATTTGGGTTGGTTCCATGACTTTGCAATCGTGAATAGTGCCGCAATAAACATCGATGAGCAAGCACTTTTCCAATGAAGAATTCTTCTGTCCTTTGTGTAGATACCAAGGAATGGGATCGCTGGATCATATGGTAGATCTATTTGTAGATTTTTGAGGAATCTCCAAATTATTCTCCACAGTGGTTGGACCAATTTACATTCCCATCAGCAGTGTAAAAGAGTTCCCCTTTCACCACACCCCTGCCAACACTTATCATTTTTTCTTTTTTTAATCTAAGACATTTTGACTGGGGTTAGGTGGTACCTCATTGTTGTTTTATCAGGTTATTCTTGAAGAGCTCATCAACAAGGGAGATGGACTGTGGAGTCTTGCACTACAATGACTTGCTGCTTTCTCCTCTCAGGCTCAGCCTATAAGCTAGTGTGCTACTTCACCAACTGGTCCCAATATCGACCAGATGCAGCCAAGTTCTTCCCTAAGGATGTGGACCCATGTCTGTGCACACACCTGATATATGCCTTTGCCACCATGAATGACAACAAAATTGCTCCTTACGAATGGAATGACATAGACGTCCTGTATCCTCAGTTCCGAGCTCTCAAAGAACGGTTTGTAGCAATTGAGTCTGTGATGAGTGGGGAACAGAGAAATAATGGAGAGTTCAAGCTCAGTTTTCAACCCATTCTCAAATATCCTAAGACCATAAGAGGCAAAGTTTTTTTATGGATAGTTTCTCCCTAAATAGAATAAGCAGGTTTCTGCCATATATGATAAAGTACGATGTAAACACTAGCATGGGCAGATGAAGAGGGATGGTTGCCATAGGCACCTTAGCGGTTATATTTGACAGCTTCCCTAGAGTCAGGAATGGGGAAAGCAGAGTCATTTCCTGTGCTGTTTGCATTCTGCAGGCTGACAGAGATATCCTTTAAATGTGTCTCTTTGTTCCTTTCTGCAGCAATGGAGATCTGGTTAACTTGCTCGCCATCGGCGGCTGGAACTTTGGCACTCAGAAGTAAGAGTCTTTTCATAGCCAGGAGATTGGGTGGAGGGAAGAGATAGAGTCCCTGAGGCTGGGGTAGGAACCAATGATGCCAGGGAAAGAAATGAAGGTAGATTACTCTCAAGAGAAAAGAGACCAACCAGCACGTGCAAAGGAGCCTCTGATATCTGGGAAGAAAGGGCTGGCTACTGCTGAAATGGAGAAATAGCAATGGTATAGAGAGTCAAATACTCAAAAGAATAAAGAGGATAATGCATGGTAGAGAAGGGGACTGGTGATGAAGGAGAGCCTGGGTCCCCTGATGAAACTGCAAAAGCATATGTTGGATCATGGGCTCTGCTGCTGGAAAGCAATTAGAAGGAACAGTTGGCATTTGGACTCTGAGTTAGAAAAGGAGATGGCAACTTAGACTTGACTTGTATGTTCAAGTTCATGATGAGTTACTTTGTAAATAATCAAAGTAATGCATATTTGTAGCTATTAAAATAATAAGACAGCACAGAATTATTTGACATAGAAGTATTTTGTTCCTCTCTCTTTCTTTCCCCAAATTTCCAGAGGTAGCAGTGTGATGTCAGAATGAGTTACAGCTGTGTATTTTGGTTCTCACTGTAACCAAGCAAATTTTTTGCAGTTACCTGTAAGGTAGTATATTATTCTCACCTATGGATTTGACCAATATTTCTTCTGCCAGATGCATATACCCTCTCCATTCCACCACTATAGCTTTTCTTACCTTGCCCACAACACAGATTAATTAAAAAACAAAACAAACAAACAAAAACAACTTTGCAAGTTAATTCTGAAAGTCTCTGAGCAGCATCTCATTCATTCCCCTATAAGTCACTTAGCTTGTGCTGGTCAGTTTACTTCTGCATAACAACAAAACAACTCATTAGCTATTTGATATGTGAACCGGGTTGGCCCCATGAGCTAGTGGTTAATGGAACTGGATTCCACAGGGCTCATTGTGTGATTTGAATACTGGCCCTGGCGACTTGAGGAACGATCTGGGTGTGTATGTATGCGTACTCAGCATCTCAACAGGGTGGAGAAATGGAGGGGAGAAGGGATTGTGGCATGACCATGCCTGTTGCAGGATACTTAATCCCTTTCCCTTCACCTTTCCTATCTTTCTGTCTCTCTCTGAGTATATGCACTTTTTGGCTTGTAAACAAATATGTGAACTTAAAAAACAACAACAACAACAACAGAAAACTAAACCTAGAGTAGGAGGCTGTGATCCAGTTTACAAAGTGCTTGTCACAGGATTCTATGAGAAACAAACCAAAAGTGTGTAAAGATGTATTTATTTGCCTTAAAATTGTTGACTATGACAAAGTAACTAAATTCGTTTTTGAAAGAATTATTTAACTTTTATTTATTTATTTTAATTTGACCTGAGAAGGAGAGAGAGAGAGAGAGAAAGAGAGAGGAAGCAAGCGGCCAGACCTGGGATTCGAACCTTGGTTGGCCATGTGGGAGTCCAGTGCCCTTAACTACCATGCCACATGTTGGCCCCAAGAGTAACTAAATTCTAATATTAAGACACCTTTGAATATAGGATTCAGAGAATAAATTTAACAATATGTTCTTTGTGAGTCAGAAGTGCTTCATTAAACGTATATATAGATTGTAAGTCACATTATACTTTTGGAAACAGTAAATATAAACAATGGACATGTGGATCAGCAGATGGTGTGGAAGTTAAGACAACTGCATCCCACATAACTGACTGCACGGTTCAAATCTGGACCCAGCAGCTTGAAAAATACAAAAGGCATGTGTGTGTGTGTATGCATGCCCAAAATCTTGAGAAGAGAATGGAAGAAGGGACTGTGGTATGGCCATGCCCCCAGGGGTGTGATTTCTCACTTTCCCTCTCTCTGTCTCTCTCTGGTGAGTCCATGTACCCTATAGCAAGTGTCATCTGCATTTGAATCGAGCTCTATTACTTAGTAGCTGTGGAATTTTAAAAAGGTTACATAACCACTATGTGTCTTAGACATCTTAGAATCAAATACCTGAGCCACTGTTCCTGAAAGATGCTACTAATAAAGAAAATGTACATGTACTTTTGACGTTATAAATAAATGGAAGAGTACTATTCAGAAGGTATACTGGAAAAGAATTTTAAATTAAAAACATCCATGAATATATATTTTTGAATTCCTTTATAAAACTATAAAAATCCAGCAGCAGTTATGATGAACTACTTAACACAAATTGATAATGGATATGATGTGGAGAGGGTTCCTGGGTGACGTTACTACAGACAAGCTCTCTGCCTAGATTCACCACCATGGTCTCTACGGAGACCAATCGTAAGATCTTCATCTGCTCTGTCATTGACTTCCTTCGGCAACATGGATTTGATGGCATTGACCTGGATATTGAATACCCAGGGTCCCGTGGAAGCCCACCAGAGGACAAGCAGCGATTTACCATCTTAATTAAGGTAGGAATGGAGTACTGGTTCTGTCATCTTATAGAGAAGCTTGTGTCTCAGGGATTATCTATGACAGCTGCATTCCTGGGAATAGCCAAGGGTGTTATCCTCAGTACACTAAGGTGTTTGTGAGTTGCAAGCAAAAGAAACAGACTTGCAGGCTACAGTAAACCAAAATAAAATTTATTGGAATAATACAGGTATCTGAGAGAATCGAGGGAAAAATCTTTAGACTAGGAAGGAGGAACCATTCATGTCATTCATTCATTCAGTAAGTATGTATTTGGCTCCTACTGTGATCCAGGTGCTGCGCTTCACATTGCAGATAGAGCAGAGAACCATACCCACATGGTTCCTGCACTCGTGGGGCTTATAATATAGTGAAAGATACAGATTTTTAAAAAATCATGTCAGGAACAGCAGTTAGTGTAATGGCTATGTCGCTGGACTCCCACCTAGCTGACCGCGGTTCGAATCCCGGACCCGGTGGCTTAAACTCATGCCAGGCGCGTGTGCGTGCGTGCCCAAGATCCCAAGAGGAGAATGGAGGAGAAAGGATTGCGGCATGGCCATCCCCCCTGGGGGGTGATTTCTCACTTTCTGTCTCTCTGTCTCTGTCTGGCAAGTTCACGCGCCCTATAGCAAAAACCTCTCCAAAAAAAAAAAAATCATGTCAAACCATTCAAATTGTGATAGGACTAATGATGGTACAAATACGATGATCAGAGAAGTCTTCACAGACATAGTGACATTTAAGCTATGATGGTAAGAATGAAAAATATCCAGCCATATAATGAGTAGGAAGTATTCTAAGGAAGTGGTAAGAGCATTGAGCAAAGGCCTGGAGGCAGAAAAGAGCTTAACGTGGCTATCCATAAAACTGAAATTTAGAGCTTCAAAAGGTAGGGTGACCTCTGCTAAGAGTTCCTGTTTTTGTTTTGTTTTCTCTTTGGAATTGCCACTAACTGTGACTTGGACTCAAGGACTCTTGGTAACCTTACTTTTTGATTCAAAGTGATACTTTTGCATCCCTGTATATTGAAGGCTACTAGGAAAAAAAAAAAAAAAAGTGGAGGAGGAAATTTCCCTGAACTGAAAGCAATCCAAGAGTTACTCACTATCAAAAACAGTAATGGAGACAGCTACTCAATCCACCATTACTCTCTCTCCAGGAAATGCTAGAGGCTTTTGAAGAAGAGGCCAAAGAAACAGGACGCCCCAGGCTACTTATCACAGCAGCTGTATCTGCTGGCAAGGGGACCATTGATGCAGGATACGAAATTGCAGAGATTGGAAAGTGAGTGTGCTGGGTCTCTTAGGACTCTCAAATTCTAGAGTAGTGACTCCTAAACTTTTTGGTGGAGAGCATCCCAAGTAGTTATAAATATAACACTGGGAGAGTTGGCCTTCGAGGCCAAAGAAGTTGGGGACTTAGTGACTCTAAGATAAGGTGGTGGCCCCTTTAAATTTTTGCTATGTTGGGACTGTGGTCATTGTGGGAGGAGGAGATGAAGGACTATGAAAAATCCTTACAATAAAAACTCTCATTAGAAGTTTCTTTTGAAAAAGGCTATTGAGGGAACCAGCAGTTAGCGTAATGGCTATGTTGCTGGACTCCCACGTAGTCGACTGCGGTTTGCGTCCTGAACCCGGTGGCTTAAAACTCACGCCAGGCGCCTGTGCTTGCATGCCCAAGATCCCGAGAGGAGAATGGAGGAGGAGGGATTGCGGCGTGACCATCCCCCCTGGGGAGTGATTTCTCGCTTTCTGTCTCTATGTCTCTCTCTGTCTGTCTGGCGAGCGCATGCGCCCTATAGTAAAAACCTCAAAAAAAAAAAAAAAGGCTATTGAAAATGCAGTAATAAAGCTATTTATCTGTGACTCTCCTGGTCTTAGAGGTATGTATTTCTGAAACACATCCCTAGCCACCCGCTTGTCCCAGCATCTTCTCTGGGTTTGCCCTGTTTCTGTCAAGGAGGTAAAGGAGACTTCATGTCCAGTCCTATGGGGGGTCACAGAAGATAATCTGCTTCCTGAGACCCCAAGAAAGCCATATTGGTGGGACCATATGGGTATCTACCTGACATCATGGGTTTCCAACCACTACAGTTTCTTGCTCTTAAATCGTCTATAAGAAAATGCCAATAGGCTCTGATTGGCTCAAAACCCCTTGTTCCAGGCTCCTCGATTTCATCAGTGTGATGACCTATGATTTTCACGGTGGCTGGGACACAACTACAGGACACAACAGTCCCCTGCATGTAGGATCTAAGGATCAAGGCGACATGCGTTATTTCAACTCTGTAAGAAAGAAAAGCCTTAAATTATACACAGAAGGAGATAGGGACGGGGTGGAGGATGGTCTTGGTTTTATATTAGGGCTTTCTCTTTGGGGGACAATTGCTAGACTTCGTTCATCAAATACAATACTGGTTATAAAATAATGTGTCTTGCTCTTTTCAGGAATATGCCATGAAATACTGGAGAGACAATGGGGTCCCTGCAGAAAAGCTCATCATGGGGTTCCCCACCTATGGGAGGACCTTCCGACTCAGCAGTTCTGACACCTCAGTTGGTGCCCCAGTCTCTGGAGCAGGGTCATCTGGTCCTTACACACGTGAGGCTGGCTTCTGGGCTTACTATGAGGTAACCAAAATGGCTAACTAAGGCTTAAAATGCACCAGGGAAAATTTCACTCTCCAAGTCACCCTGTTACCTTTGTCTGGAGTCTCTGCACTCTGACTTTCCATGGCTCTGAGCATAAACAGCTTGATGGTTGTGGAACAATTTTTACTTAGAGAAATCTGAATTTCCTATTTGGGTTTGAAAGCATATAGCGTCATGTTCCTCACAGTGTGAAAACAACACCAAATTCTATTAAATCTATGAAAACAGCTGGAGAAGGATTTCAATAGCTTAACCTAGCAATGGCAAATAATTGGATTTCCTTTCCAATTTGAGTTTTATTTACTAGACTCTTGTGCTGGAAACTCTCAGATTGATAAGTGAATCTTTGGCAATGTTTGCCAAAGACTGGAGGGAAGAATGACCATAGTGCATATGGATGTGTTTATGAATTACCCAAATAACTTGAGTATAAAATGAGATAGAATTATACTTGTTTGTAGCTTGGTTTCATGGAAATTTGTATCTTCACTTTTAAAAGACATTTTTAAAAATTTAATTTGCTAGAGGGTGGTTGCCCTTGCCAGAGAGACAGAGACATAGAGAAAGAGAAAGTGAGAAACACCCTCCCCATGGGGGATGGTCATGCCACAATCCCTTCTCCATTTCTCTTTTTGGGATTTTGGATGTACACACACATGTGCTTAGCATTTTTTTAAAAAAAATTTTTGGAGAAGTTTTTGCAATAGGGCACATGCGCTCGCCAGAAAGACAGAGAGACAGAAAGTGAGATATCACCGCCCCCCCCCCCCAATAGGAGGGGTGATATGGCCACACTGCAGTCTCTTCTCCTTCATTCTCCTCTTGGGATCTTGGGCATACACGCACATGCACCTGGCATAAGTTTAAGCTACCAGGTCCAGGACTTAAACTACAGTTGACTACATGGGAGTTCAGCGACATAGCCATTATGCCATCTGCTGGTCCTGTGCTTAGCATGTTTTTCAAGCTACCAGGGCTGGGACTTGAACTGCACAATAGGCCATGCAGGATCCAGCTGCTTTAACCATTAGGCTATAGACTGGCCCTGTGTCTATGATTTATGAGACAAATCCACCTTTTTAGAAAAATACGTGAGATTAACGTATTTCAAATAACATTTCATAATGTCCCCTTTTCTATTCCCCTCCTGTTCTTCCCGTTCCCTTCTGTTTAAGTCACTTTTCCTCCTATACATGACACGTATCTGAGAAATGTTCAACATTGCCTTCTTCATGCCCCCATAGATCTGCACATTCTTAAGTGGAGCCACAAATGCCTGGATTGAAGACCAAAAAGTACCATATGCTTACAAAGACACTGAGTGGATTGGCTATGACAATATTGAGAGCTATGGATATAAGGTATGAGCATTATAAAAACATTTACAATTCTAGTTTCAAATCCTATGTTCATCTTCCGAATCTTCCAAATATCTATGGTTTCTAAGTTTTTAATATACCAGGATACTTCATTATTACCTTTTCCCCAAGACTGAGAAAAAAATAAGTTGAAGCCACTGGGTCTGGGACTGAAACCGTGCTTGACTATGTGGGAGTCCAGCGACACAACCATTATACCTCTGCTGGTCCCAAGAGTAAATAGAATTTAGAACTTGATATACAATGTGTAAAACATAACATGATATACTGAAATATACTAGCATATTCTAGTACGATTGAAAACTTTCCCAATTTTTGTCTAGTATGAATCTCTAATAACACATGTAAATAGTTGAAAGACTGGCCTAAGACTATCATCTTTTCCTTTTTACCTAAATACTTTACAAGTATTAGGTTGTCGGGAAAGTCATGAAATATTTTTCTATGCAAAAATTCATAATGACTTTCCTGGCAACCCAATATTTTCTTACTTGATTTTACATAACCTAGTGAAGTAAGAAACAGCCCTTCTGTTTTACAGTTGTGTATGCTGAGGATCGTAGATGCTAATCTAAAGTCACATAGCTAGAAAAGAAAGGCAGTAATTAAACATGCCACCTGGCTCTAAGCTTAGTTTCTTACCACCACGCTTTCTGCCAAGTCATCCTGGCCAGGAAGAAGGCTGTCTTCAAGGAGGAGGAAAGAGGTCATAATGTGCAGTGGTTAAGTGTTTAGGCTTTGGAATTGAATATACCTGGTTCTAACTTCTCAGTCTGAGATAGGTGAGTTCCCACAAATCTGTGAAAGAATAATAATGATAGTATCTACCTAGTAGTTTCTGTAAAGACTGAGTAATGAAGGTAAAAACATAGCTTACTTGTAATAACAAAATTAAATAAATATTTGCTTATATTACTACCCAAGAGCTTGTTAACTAGAATTAAAAAAATGTAAAGCTGAGTAAATCAATCATATGTCTTGACTCCATAAGACATACACTCTTT